TTCCACTCGGTTTTCATTCTACATCAAACTTAAAAATTTCGTTCATTCTAATTTTTTTTTTTTTAACATGCAGTCAACGGGAAATTCATTCGCACAAGTGGCAAACCCTTCGAAAGAATTGGAATTGTGATTTACATGAGCCATAATCAGTCACACTTCCATAAAACAAAATTTTTTAAATCGGGCATATTCAATTCAACTTTGTTGTTTTAATTAAGAGACAGTTCTCAAGAGACTGTTTCTTTTACTCCAGTTTACTTTAATTTGACTTTTATTTGTCCGCGTTGTGATCTCCAATGTAAGCGTCAAATGCTGATGCGATGGGTTGGATTTACGAAGGCCAACGAGCTCTTCAAGTTCCTCTAAAACACTTGAAATTAGTCCTCAGTGGAATTTATTTCCAGTTTAGCACCTCGCATATAATCAATCGGAATGCAGCTTTTTTGGGGATGAAATCACCCAACGCAACTCTTTAAAAATCTGACATGAAGATTAGGGACGTACTTCAAATCTCAGCAAACAATACCGTTAGATCGATCGTGTGTTACTTTGAGTTCAAGCCTTGTACAATAAATAAGGGCGGTTTTAGGACTAATCGTGAAGAATAGTAAACAAACTATTCATATTCAACTTACCTCAAAACAACTCTCATCTTCCCAAATACTATTCAAGCAAGAACAGCATCTGCCAACTTGCAATTCCCGAATTAGCGAGTTCTTCAGAGCGAAGTGAAAATTGGAAAACCCTTCAAAACTGATTAACTACTATTTTGTACATTTGAAAGCCAGTCAAGCATCCCTTGTACGTTAAATTATTCAATTTCGTAAAGCTAAGCTTTTAAGTCAGCCACTTGGGAATGCAAATTGAACATTACAGTTTATTGAACTTTTATTGATGCGAATCGTGAACCGACAAAAGCAATTGTGCTGTAACTAAACGGCATTCTTTGTCAAAACTACTGATTAACAAAAGAAAGTAGTAACCCCACGATGTTCCGTAACCAGTTTTTGAAACGAGACCAATATACGATAATTGCAGTTTTCAGTGTGATCACATTTTATGTGTGGAGACACGGGCTGCGAAAAGTGGGTCGTGCGCGTCAAATCGAGACTTACTTTTCAACCCAGAGTGAAACAACAAATACGGATTTCCTCTAACGAGTGCCGGGGTATTTATTTAAAATTTCGGCTTAAAAGGAGGAGCTAGCTGTGGTTGAAAGTTAAAGTGGCAATAGAAACAGGTTTTCCTTGAATTCCTTCTGTTTAAAAAGTTGAGGGGGCGTTTGTTTGATATTTTGTCTCACCTAGGGGGACACCTATCCGAGCAGGGGGCCTTTTCGAGAATTCGTGGGCGCTTAATAACGCGTGGGTTCTTATTCGAGGAAATACAGTATATCTTTAAAGATTGTTGTTTCTGTAGCACATTCTCGCGAAACAGCCATTTATTGGCGTCTTGTTCTTGATTTTTTAAAAATCTACTTTTAACAGCTTTCGTCCCTTGCGATACTTAATTTCAGTCATTATATTAATGTCCTTTCTGGACCGAAGATTTATTAGACCCGACATGATGTTTATTCATTCATTTTCTGCTGCGGCTTTTGTTTGTCCACAGCTTATTCATTGCGACATCGGCGCGATATTAGGGTCAGATAAGCTATATGCCGGTATAATTTTGGTCATAATGCGATAGTCCTCAGAGCATCAGGTGCAATATCGGCATAATGACCAAACTTCTCAAAAGTGTCCTTGATGTTACAGTTCAACAAGAGATGAATTCTGTAGCCTGAATCCAGTAAATCGTTGTGTTCTGAACTTCAGCAAGCTACTTTTTTAAGCACGTTTTACCTGTTGGTGGTGGGAATGGCGGAGGGGGAGGTTGAGGGGCTCTTTACAGCTATTAATTGAATAATTAAATTGAGCATAATGAAACATTTTAGCATGATTTTCGACATAATGCCACGTTTTTAGGGGTGACGCTCAACAGCCTATAGCTCAAATTTTCGAGCGTAATTAATCTGACCCCACACGATATACCCACGGCCAGATGTTTCCATATACCCACGGCCAGATGTTTCCTTCTTGCTAATGGACGTGTGTTGTGCATGTGGCTTTGGCCAATCCAGTGACCAT